TAGCCGATGTGAGCAAGACCTTTAAACAGGTCAACATTCACTAGGCCGCGGGGCCAGACGGATTACCAGGACATGTACTCAGAGCATGCACGGACCAACTGGCAAGTGTCTTCACTTCATTCTCAACCTCTCCTTGACTGAGTCTGTAATACCCACCTGTTTCAAGCAGACCACCATAGTCCCTGTGCCCAAGAACGCCAAGTTAACCTGCCCAAATTACTACCGCCCTGTAGCACTCACGTCAGTAGCCATGACGTGCTTTGAAAGGCTTGTCATGGTTCACATCAACACCATCATCCCGGAAACCCTAGACCCACTTCAATTTGCATACTGCCCCAACAGATCCACAGATGACACAATTTCAATTGCACTCCACACTGCCCTTTCCCACCTGGACAAAAAGGAATACCTATGTGAGAATCCTGTTCATTGACTGCAGCTCAGCTTTCAACACCATTGTGCCCACAAAGCTCATCACTAAGCTAAGGACCCTGGGACTAAATACCTTCCTCTGCAACTTGATCCTGGACTTACTGATGGGCCGCCCCCAGGTGGTAAGGGTAGGCAACAACACATCTGCCACGCTGATCCTCAACATGGGAGCCCCTCAGGGGTGTGTGCTTAGTCCCCTCCTGTACTTTCTGTTCACCCACGACTGCGTGGCCAAGCACGACTCCAACACCATCATTAATTTGAGACCGCCTATAGGGAGGAGGTCAGAGACCTGGCAGTGTGGTGCCAGGACAAAAACCTTTCCTTCAACGTGAACAGGAAAAGGAGGGCCAAACACGCCCCCATTCACATCGACGGGGCTGTAGTGGAGCGGGTCGAGAGCTTCAAGTTCCTTGGTTTCCACATCACCAACAAACTCTCATGGTCCAAACACACCAAGAACGTCATGAAGAGGGTTTGTCAATGCCTATTCCCCCTCAGGAGACTGAAAAGATTTGGCATGGGTCCTCAAAAAGTTATACAGCTTCACCATCGAGCACATCCTGACAAGTTGCATCACCGCCTGGTATGGCAACTGCTCGGCATCCGACCATAAGGCGCTACAGAGGGTAATGCATACGCCCCTTTACATCACTGGGGCCAAGCTTCCTGCCGTCCAGGTCCTCTATAATAGGCAGTGTCAGAGGAAGGCCCAAAGAAATGTCAAAGACTCCAGTCACCCAAGTCATAGAGTGTTATCTCTGCTATCTCGGTACCGGAGTGCCAAGTCTAGGTCCAAAAGGCTCCTTAACAGCTTCTACCCCCAAGCCATAAGAGTGCTGAACAATTAATCAAATGGCTACCCGGACTGTTTTTTATTTTTTATCTGTGTTTGAAATTCACTGCTCGACTGAGGGACCTTACAGATAATTGTATGTGTAGGTAGTCATTCAAAAATCATGTTAAACACGATTATTGCACACAGCGTGAGTCCATGTAACTTATTATGTGACACATTTTTACTCCTGAACTTAATTTAGGCTTGCCATAACAAAGGGGTTGAATACTTATTGACTCAAGACATTTCAGCTTTTCTATTAAATTAATTCTAAAAACACAATTCCACTTTGACATTATGGGGTATTGTGTGTAGGCCAGTGACACAAAATCTCAATTTAATCCATTTTAAATTCAGGCTGTAACACAACACAACAAAATGTGGAAAAGGTCAAGGGGTGTGAATTGTGAATACCTTTCTGAAGTCACTGTAGGTAACCTTGCATGGTCAAACCGTAGACACAAAGTACCCAACCAAGAGTTACGACCCCTCCTCTTTTGGCAACCTAGATGGGCTTAAAAAAGCTGACAATATGCTATTTTATTTTTTTACCTTTATTTAACTAGGCAAGTCAGTTAAGAACAAATTCTTATTTACAATGACAGCCTACACCGGGTCAATTGTGCGCTGCCCTATGGGACTCCCAATCACGGCCGGTTGTGATACAGCCTGGAATCGAACCAGGGGGTCTGTAGTGACACCTCAAGCACTGAGATGCAGTGCCTTAGACCACTGCGCCACTCGGGAGCCCAATGCAACATCTGGCATATCCTCATATATACCCTATTATCTTCTGTATTAATAGAATGTGTTTTTACAAGCTGGTGTCATGGGGGGGATTGGTGCTTTGGGGAATTGGTATGTGCCTTCTTATTGCTCCATGTACAGTGCCTAATGAAAGTCTACACACGTCTTCAATTAAATCTAAAAAAGGATTCAATTCTATGTTTTGCTTCCAGCAATTATTAACTCTGGGGTGTGAAGACATACGCAATGAATAAATGTTCTTCTTTTTTTTATGTACATTTGAAAAACTTTCGATAATTTTCTTTCACTTTGAAATTGGGGAGCAGGTTGTGCGGATCTGTGGGGGGAAAATCTAATTCAATCTATTTTGTTATTTAATTTTAAGGCAGCAAAATGTTTAAGGGGTGTGTAGACTTTCACTAGGCACTGTATGTACAGCAGCCAATTAATATTCATCATTAACTATGCATACGGTGCAGATACAGAGTGAGATACATTCATACATGTATACTGTACATATAATAAACAACACAGAATGTAGCCTGTGATCACATGATCTTATCAGAAGCACTAATGCTATATGGTGTCACAACATATATATTCAGAATTGTTATGATTTCATGCACTGAGAGAACATACCTTGGCAGCAGATAGACAGCAAACAGAAAGTGAGATATGGCAAAAAATGTATGCACGCATGACTGTAAGTCGCTTTGGATAAAAGCGTCTGCTAAATGGCATATTATTATTATTATTATTATATGGCCTTCCATACACTGATGATATCTATCACGTGTGCTGTGTCAAAGGTCAATGCCATTGATAGAGCTGCTTTCTAAATGGTTGTAGTGTTAGAACAGTCAAAGTCAAGGGCCACTCTAATAGCATTACTATATCGTTAATGAGAGTGGATAGGCTGCATTTTCATCCTATAAACACGCCACAGGAGAGCACGTCAATCATTTATCAGGTCATGTGTGGGTCCGTGACACTACACCTCAAGAGACCCTCTCCTTTCAGAAGCTGGTGTTGGAGCTGGAGGCAGAGCTAAAAATCTTAAGTCAGAAATGTTATAGACTTGCTAGTAGGGATAGTGATACATTCATATCTATAACCAGTCAGCTCAGCCCTATGTCCAAAGAACTGATAGCAAACTCAAGATAATTATGGAGATGACCACTCAATCATAGCATCTGAAGTGCTAGTTCTAGGTTCTATCTAACATTTTTGTATGAAGAACTGAAGGGAAATTGGAACAGACAACATGGTCTGCCAGAGTACATAAAGAGATTTAAGAGGATTACTTTTGCAATTTTAGAGTCAATGCATTATTTATAATCCCCAGGATGGCTGGTGCCAAACCAGGGAAGGACCTCTGGTCATTAGCAGAGATAGCTAGCCCTGGGAAGTGGGGAGGAAGAGGAAGAGGAGGAGTAAAAGGAACTGGGGATTCAGAGGGATTGTGTTGGTGACACATGCTTAGTTGTCGTTAAATATATACCACTCCAGGTTGGCTCAAGAACCTTAAGGGAATGAGGGATTTTTTCTTCTATATTCTCTATGGTGAATCACCATTACATGCTTTGGCTTGTGTCTGAATATAAAGTGAGGAGGACTTAAGAGGACATTCTATGAATGTAGATATCAGTGGTGTATTTCCTGCTGTGAAATAATATGATCCCATGTGAATAAGCCTTGAAGCAATGGAAATGTAATAATACACTTTTTGTCAATCTACCTTTCATAACTTATCATTTCAGCATTGTTTGGCATTGCACCAATAATCCATGAGCAATATTTTTTACATGAATTAGTAAATGGTGTTTACATCAGCAATACATTACAATTGACTTGCATGACAAGGTTTAAATAGTCATTTAAGGTATCTGAAGTGATTTAAGATTCTACATCCAATACAGACATGAACTGAAGAGAAAAATATGTTTGAAAAAGCTTCCTGTAGTCTGAGATAGAGAAAAGTCATAATGTCCAGCCCACATGGTGATCCACCTGGCAGGATTCCCAGTGCATTCAGCTGGCCCTTTCATCAGGCCTTGTCCACTGCTATCGGAGTATTGTGTGAGTGAGAGGAGCTCTCAGACTAAAATACTGACTGACTCTCTTTATTAAAAGGGTGGTAATGGGGCTTCCTTCTTTCTTCCTCCTTCCATTCAGGTGACATCGCGTGAAACTGTGGTAGAATCAGTGCTGATAAATCAACCACATGGACATTGGGCAATGCTAAGGCTAATACAGGCTCTTGGACAACTCTGAAATATTAATTACTTACATATGATAGCTTTATAACCTCATTACAATCTGTTTCATTATAAGCAAATTGTGTGGGGCGTTGCTTTGGGCTTTGACGTGAAAGTGTCAAGACTAATCAGAATTTTGTCAATGACAAAAACATATATCACCCCAACAAGCATATTGATGGAATTACTATGTCTCAAAATGATTAAACGTCATTGCTTTCAGAGAAGCGACTATGCCATGAAGGGCATAGTCCATTTAGGTTTATTCATCACATGGTGTCTCATCGTGTAAAGATGATGAACTACCTCAGCAGTGATGTGTCCTTTTATCACCATTTCATTCCTTTCAACTGCTTTCTATGTTTATCCGTTGGTAATCAAATCTCTTACAAATCTTCTACATTATTCCAATGATTCAAAGTCAGACATTATTCAGCGCAATACAGCCCCTTAATATGACAGCTCTGCATGTGGAATACCAACATATATATATATTTTTGGGGGGGCACATGAAAAATAACATAAAGGGTGTCTGTGTGTGTGTCATCTGTGATATCAATTGTGATCTCGTATAAATAAAGCTCTGATCAAGTCTAGATGTTAGTTGCTCAGTGACAGAAAATAAGAAAAACAAGGCCCATCTGCTGCCTTCCTACAGTATATCTACTGTGATTCCACCCCAGCATAATATGACATACACTGTATATTTCTCTCCCTTCTCCCAGAAACCATGGTGAGCAAGGAAAACAGCAAGGTCGTGCTATCCAACTCAGAGTCAGATTCAGAGGCAGGCCCGTCACAAAGCCTGGAGACGCAGTACGGTCCTGACGGCAAACAGCAGGTGAAGAAGAGGAACAAAGCCTTACAAGTCCGCTTCAAGGACATATGTGACGCCCAAAAGGAGCAGCAGGCAGGGGGGCGAGGAGCCAGGTCCATTTCCTGTAAAGTGGCATACAGGAAGTACATGACGATGCCTGCGCGGCGCTCCATCCCCAATGTGACTAAGAGCACAGGTGTCCAGACGTCACCGGACCTTACGAAACACTACCAGACTTTCCCCTTCGAGCGAAAGAAAGGACACACGATCAAACACACTGCCTTGGTGGAGGAGTACAAGGGCCAAAACAACGGGTTTTTGAGTGACTTGAAAGGGCAGGAGGAGGCGCTAAGTTTAGAGGAGTGCTCGTCCTCTCAGGGTGCAGGGAAGCATGTGCGGCAGACGCAAGCACTGCTCCACCACACGGACGACAGCAGTGGCACAGAGGATCTGTTATCCATTGCCAACTGTGTAGACGGGCGTGCGTGCCCGGACTCCTCTAGACTCACAAAGGACACAGAGTGCTTTGCAAACGACCCAACTCCCAGGGGAGAGCCAGAGAACCTTGCCTGTGGCGCGAAAACCAAACACAAAGGATTATCCAAAGCGGACGCAACTGGTGCCAACCCTTCTGCCAAGCGCCAGCTGGCCAACTGCGAAGAACCCTTACAGGACACAAGGTCAAAGGTCACAAGTCCCGTTGCCTGGAACTCCCTGACGCAAGTGGAGGGTCTAGGCCTAGGGAGTCCATTGGTGTGCTGCAAACGCAAAAAGGCCATGCAGCCCAATGGACAACAGTCCCAGACACTGCCCCACCCCCACAGTGCTGGCTGCTCTGTAGCTAAGGTAAAGGCACATCAGTGCCGATCAGGGACTTTACCAGCCCCAATGAAACCCCAACCGGGCCTGGAGGGCCAGGCTTGCCCCCCAGGACGGCAGGGTGCCTGCAAGGAGATAGTGCCCTTAGCTGGGAACGGGGATATTAAAGAAAAGCTCCAGGCCATGGAAAACCTCATCAGCTCCAGTCAGGAGACCATCAAAGTCTTACTGGGGGTCATCCAAGAGCTGGAGAAGGGTGAGGCTCAGAGAGAAGGGTGAGTGGAACTCATTTATATCAACCAGGCATCATATAGAATTGCCAGTACATTTACGTCATTTAGCAGATGCTCTTATCCAGAGAAACTTACAGGAGCAATTAGGGTTAATTGCTTTTCTCAAGGTCACAACAACAGATTTTTCACCTAGTCGCCACAGGAATTTGAACCAGTGACATTTCAGCGACCTTTCGGTTGCTGGCCCAACACTCTTAACTACTAGGCTACTTGCCGCCCGGCATAACTGACCTACTCAAGTAAAACATACATTTCTGTGTGTGGTTCAATCTTCACTGAGGTTTGATGTTCTTGCTAGTTCTGCAGCCCTTGAAACTGCTGTGGTCTACAGAATGTGTAAGCTAAATCAAGCATTGAATACAAACATCATGGCTGCCTGTGTCATTTAATTCCAATAGCAAGGAAGTAAGTGGTCTCTGATTGTACTGTAGATACTGTACTGTTCTGTGTATTTGCTCAGGGGTACAGAGAAACTAACAAGTGCATAACATTTCTGAGCCATGTCCAATAGGCCACACCTCTACAGCAATAGACTGAACGTACAAGGCTGTCTGCTTTGCTCCCTAAAACCCGGAGCGGCACAAAGCTAATTGTATTAAGCCTTCTCCAAAGCCACCGGACTCCCCTGACGTTGCTCCCTGAAACCTGGTTTAAAAGTACCAATTAGCAGCGACTCATAAAGCACTGGCTTTCATCTGGCTTTCAAGTGTGTGGCTCATATGGCACCTTCAATATGTTTCATCACTATTATTAGAGCCTGCTACTCACCATGAGGCCCCAGCATCTCAACTCCCTCCCCACCGTGTCTCTCTCTCCCTGCCAAGCCACTCTAACTCCCTCACCACCTTCTCTCTCCCTGCCAAGCCACTCTAAAGCTGTCTGTCTTCAAAGTGATGATCCCAGACTACTGGTGGAACAGAATAGTGTCTGAAAGCCCCTCTTATTCTCACCGGGATTTTGGCATCATGTGGGTGGGTTTTTCAGGAAAAGCTCTGCTTCTAGTGCACACAGTGATGTGTTGACGAGAGGTTTCAGTGCTGTTCCCAGTAGACCAAGGACTGAGACAGGCACATTTATAACACACTGTGTTGAGCAGTGGTTACTTGGTTTACAGATGTTTGCAGGACCTTATCAATGACGCTCATTCCCATTTCTATTGGCTTTATTTATGCTCACAAAATCAATCAATGTGAGGTGAATGATTAGTGTTGCACAAGCCTCTCTTTCATCCCTGTGCTAAACTACTATCACATTCTGAGGGTCATCACTGGTCCAACACTCCTGCTGGTTTCAAAGTCTCAGGATGATTTGCTTACAGTTCCTACCAATCAGGTTAGGGACTGAATCCTATCGTGCTAACGTACAGGATTATCCAACCTGACCCTACTGTATCTGTTGTTGATAGGCTATCAATAGAGCATAGAGCGAATTCCATTCGGCCAGGAGGTCAGTGGTATAGGGACAGTGAGGACATCTCTACGGAGAGCTGACGTGTGCAAATAACACCGGAGTGAGCCTGTGCCAACAAATAACACCGGAGTGAGCCTGTGCCAACAAATAACACTGGAGTGAGCCTGTGCCAACAAATAACACCGGAGTGAGCCTGTGCCAACAAATAACACTGGAGTGAGCCTGTGCCAACAAATAACACTGGAGTGAGCCTGTGCCAACAAATAACACCGGAGTGAGCCTGTGCCAACAAATAACACTGGAGTGAGCCTGTGCCAACAAATAACACTGGAGTGAGCCTGTGCCAACAAATAACACCGGAGTGAGCCTGTGCCAACAAATAACACCGGAGTGAGCCTGTGCCAACAAACAGTGGCACAGCTTAAAGATTACTTATAGTGTCAGAGCTTAGAGAATTACTTTCCGACACAGCGTCCACACATAAAGTAATCTGGCCTAGCAGAATAGAACATTGGTACATTGCTAGATTAATTGAAAATACAGTTCAGTAAATACAATTGTCGTTTAGATGGTGTATTACAGTACATGGAGGTTGTGCTAGAAATGTGATGACCTTGATTATGATTGTACCACTTAATATCTCAACAAAAAAACTCCCTTCTGTTTGGTGACTCTATTGACCTTTTTTTTCCAACGATTTGATATATCAAAGGAGTTATTGTGTATTCAGGCCCTCAACTCCACAGTCAACAGCAACCACCTCTAAGGTGAAATGGACAGATGAACTTGGTGACCTTGCATTCCCATCAGCACTTTCGATCTATCCAAGGCAGATAAGGTCACCCTTATGACATGGTGAGCAGCAGGGTTCAACCTCTCTAGTTTTCATCCATCAGCTCCCACTGACAATAGGCAATTACATGTCCTAGTGGACCCGCTTGCCCCTTCCGCTTTCCAATTGACCACTCTCTACACACCCTCAGATCAAAATGAATGAGAAATCCCATCGCTACCACCAACGTACGCAACATGATGGATGGTGACTGTTACTTCTGGGAGAGTCCTGAAGAGATTGATACAGATGCCATCAAATCTCCATGCATGTTCAGTTCACACTTATGTCTGCTCAAGTTTGCCTCCGAGATGCCTCAGGAGCAAAACATACGTAGATTTGTGCCGAAGATGGAGGAGGCATTGCAATCTAAGTAATGACAGGACAATACAGGGCGGACACTGGGCTTTAGGGCTCTTTGAAATGCCATACAGAACACAGACATCATTTGTCATGTTGATTGTCTTTTGCTTCCCTAAGTCTCATTATTTTCTGAGAACGTTGAGTTGGAGGGAGATCGAGTATATTGACTTTTCTGTAGTATTCATAAACATGATTAATAATGCATTTTGTTTTGTCAGAAAGTTGACAAAAACCATTTGTATACTGTGTCATAAGGAAAGAGATGAGCATATTATATCAAGTGAGCATGTCTATTCTCTGACCAACCTAATCTCACAGAAGACTGTACCATTCATAACACAAATCCATATCGGTTTGAAAAATAGAGCATGTAAATTAAAATAATGCAAGCCAAATGAGCCATGAAAATCTTCCAATCTCTCACCACTCCCCAGGCTTTCCTACCGAACGGGACAGGACACAGCCAACTGTGACACGTGTCGAAACAGTGCCTGCATCATTTATAGGTGAGTACCTTAACATTGTTAACAGCTTGAAAGGTCCCTTACGCCTGCTTTGGCATAACATACTGATGGCATGAGACAAAAGATCCCTTACGGAAAAACCACAGGAATTTTACGTGAACACGTGAAGTGTTCCAAAAACACGTTTTCATTCGGTGTCTCTGTAAGGTGTGCTTTATGTGTGAGGTGATATACTATAAAGCGACAAACCAAGTGCTAATAGTCAATTGAATATAATGCATTTTTACTGTAGGCCTTTCAATGTTTTTCATATAGCAATCAATGCCTTTTCCGGTAATGAGTAGAATGGAATACTTTACTGGATATTATTCTTCTCACTGCAAGATTAAGGGCATAGCTCAGTTGTGATACAATAATGACAATTGATTGAATACTTCTGTCAGAGTGATATAAATGAATTGAGCACCATACATCTGAATCTGAGGTGGAAATAGATACTATGAAATGGTGTGATTGAGATCAATGATAAATTCACTGAAGGAGAAGAGAACACTCCTATATGGGCCAGATCAATGATGAAAATAAACGTTTGATATCCTATTACAATGATGCATAGACGTCCTCAACTCTAATTTCAGACTCTGGTAATAAATACAGAATATAGTCACTGTAGAAAGGAATTAACACATAAGCCGAATTGGAAGCAGCAAATTGAGTTGAATTTCTAGACACAGGTGGTGCAAATATAACGTTGTTATTGTAGAAGGTAATAAAATAAATAAAGACAAATCTCTCCAGCACAATTGCAAAGCACTGTGGGTGAAGCATACCTCCTGAGGGAATAAGTAATCATACACAACAGGGGGAAATGAATTAGCCCAGAGAGGAAATGCAATTGGGGCTCGTACAGTATGAGAGCAGCTGGGAACTGGACACGATATCCTGACAGAGAGTCCCCTTTCAAAGTACCTTATGAATAACTGCTGCAGTGATGGACGCTAAAAGCCATGGAAACTTGACTCAACTTCTGAGTCCACTTCACTGGTCCAGAAGTAGATGACTAACAATTCAATTTTGATAAACACCCACCACCCAACTGTCTCACTTGGGTAAACACTCGCAGATGTTCTGACTTCTCCACTCGTCTGAGAGACATAAACAACCCTCAGGCAGGTTGCAAAATCCACTCACACTGTGACTCCATTCAGAGACAAGAATAAAAACATCCATCTTAGAGATCAACGTCAATTCAAACAATATACAGTATTGCAGAACATACTGTAGCATACCATCTGAATAGTACTGAGCGTCCAAAGTCTGGCAAGATCAAGATGTTAGTCGTTGTTGTACCCTAGTGTGCTTGCAAACACCTTCCATTGTGTTCTGCTTCTTCAGCTGTACGGCCTGTTCCAGCCTTGCAGGCAGAGAAAGACTCACAGGGGACAACTTCAGATAGCAGGGTTTGTGAGGTCACTGAGTTGCAAATAAACACCAGAACAAGCACTACTGCAGCAGAGTTCTACATTTAAAAAGTGAACCAATTTCTAAAAATACAAGTCTTCTCATGTTCATTTTTTGCACTCATTATCGTCGTCTTAGTAAACAACTCATGCATAAGTACATCTGCTTTACTCAATGACAAAACAGCATACATTTGTATATTTTGACTGAGGGGACATCTAACTTTGACCAACAACCTCACTCTAGTCTCCAATTAGTAGATGTTAATCTCCATCTTCACCTAATCAATTCCTTGTCAATCAATGTTCTCATCCAATCAAAGCCTATTTTTTTGTTCATCCCTGGGGTGTTAATCATTAGTCCAAACAGTTGCAACCAGTTGTGTTTTGCAATGAAAACAAGAGTTTCTATTGGGCAAATTCAGGTAGGTCCCTCCCTGTTTCGTTCCGTTCGCTTCAGTTTAAGAAACGTTTTGCAACAGGAGTAATAAATACACCACTGTTCTCTTGTGACATGTATAAAGAATGCATAATTTAACAGCCATGGTGTCAGATTGAAGGAACTGACATGCAGGAATCATTAATGTAATTATGTGTTATTTCCTGCAACATAGTCTCATGAGAAATATGTTACATTTTCTCAAGCAATGATCTATGATCTGAGATAACTCATGTCACAAAGCACATTTGCTAGTACAGTATCTAATTGAAGACCAGTATGGCATGAAAGAGGATTTCAAATGATTCAATTCATACCCCGAATTCTGCTATGAGTCACATTGCTTAGTATTGTTGTCTTCCGGATTTACAACCCATGTAATGTAATTAGTGTATGTATGAGCTGTTGTGTGCTAACAAAGTGATTACGGTAGTTGATGTGTCGGAATGATTAAACTAGAATGCTCCTTCTTGTTTGTGATGCTATATGCATTTGGTGTGATATGATTACAGGATTGCATTAATTAAACACAGTTCCCATGCATGTCATAACAGGCTAAAACTAAACAGATAAATAATAAAGCATAGGTCTGAGAGCCAGACTAAAATAGAAGTATTTACGTTGGTAATATGTGTGTGGGTAGCCTAATGTCCTTTGGGTATGTGGAGTGTATGTACTAAAAAAAGATGTCTTGAAAAACACTTGTAATTCCCAGATTACTACTGAATAAGCCGCGACATGTTCCTTTTTCATGTCCATTCTCATCATCATCCAAGAGGGCCTTAATATGTACACATTTGCTGCTTTATTCATGGACCTTGGTTAGCGATATGTAAAGATCAAATCAAATCAAATTGTATTGGTCACATACACATATTTAGCAGATGTTATTGCAGGTGTAGGCGAAATGCTTGAATTATGAATGGCTTTGCTTCAGTTGATTGCAATCGAGATCCTGAAGTGGTGCTTGATACTTATTTAAGTTACAGGGTCACATGGAAGGAAGCAGATAACATACTGTTTACTAACTGCAGATGCATTACAGTACATTACATCATGAACACTATAGGGTCAGAGATTCATACAGTATCCTGTACAGAGGCAAACAAACACTAAACTACAAAGTATACAGCCAGGAAGCATAATGGGCACAGAACGAAAACTGTTCTGATAGAGACAGAAAGATGAAGTAGTAAACATGTTGTCCCACACGAATGATGTAGCCAATTGAGATTTTGTGTGTGACTAACACATTTCAGTTAATTACTATAGCTCCTGCCTTGGGCCAATCAGTGTAATTTTGTAAATGCCGGATCTCTACGGCAAAACGCATCATTCACCTTAGTTCTTCAAAATCGTCCCAGTGCTGTCTGAGATATCGCGTGTGACTAACGTACCAACTAACGTATGAACGTACGAACGAACGTACGAACGGATGGCGATAGATCCACAGTCCACTCCCCAATTTCCTCTTGGGGGACAATTATAACGCTCTTTATCAATGCACTGATCACAGAGAGACAACAGCTTCACAAAGACCCAGGTCAAGAATGCATGATCATTCTGTTCAAAACTTGAGATAAGCAATAGAAGGCTCTCAACAATCCCTAACAAGGGAAATACGTTTTCCACTGAAAGTGCCAGGATGTAACCTTTCTAAACAAAGGCGTTCCATGAAAAGTCGATACAAATGATCAATTTTGTTATTAGAAGAAGGCCTGTGGAACGTGTACGAAGGAAATTATTATAATTCCATCTGTGGTCAACAGATTTTTCAGCTCATCGTTCCTAAATTGTGCATCTCTGCATTTCTTTTTTTACTGCCCTTGAATAGGACTTAACAGCGATTGGCAAGCAAGACGACAATCTATCAAGTGCTGTCTGTCTCTGCCAAAGCAAACGGCAGTAAATATATCCCAAAACTTTGCAAATAGCTTTAGTTAATTTTTTTCTCTACCATATCTCCTTCCTCGATCTTGCTTATTTACAGACTGGATCGAGTGATGTGTCACACCGAAGATATTTATCAAAGTCTACCAGGTGAACGATGAGTGTTTACGCTTTTTCTTATAGCATGCATTCTATCTACAGTATATCACGTTTTACAGTGTATATATTTAACCAGTCCTTTTTTGCAATTCTTTCTTTTCAGAGATTGTTGTCGATGTCTTGAACTGTTACGTTATGACCATGGCTTTCAGTGCTAGCTATGTTGATAAAACTAGATATCTGACATAAACTTGAACTTGAACATACAGTAGAGTATATTCTACAGGTTTGTTTGAGTACACCATTCTTTGTCATGACAGGTCTATTTCTGCCAGGGCCTGTGGTGGTGACTCAAAGTGCTCATAGGGCAGCAATAATCATCTTGCTGGGCACACCACTCAGCCCTTCCACTTAATGAGCTGGCCTGGGTACAGTGAGCAGAATTAAAAAGAGCCAAGAACAAAAAGAATCTGAACCAAAAGGCCAATTATTCCTCAGACTTGGACAGTAACTACTCATTGCCAAGATTAGCAGCCGTGGCGATGTGGCCTCTAATTCCAAATAGCAAGTCAGTACCCATATGGCTAATAGATCCAGGACTTGGGCTCCTGCCGGTGCTCAGTTGAGCTGAGGTAGTCAATATACAAGCCCTACCCAGAATTCAACACACGACCAACACTCCCAGCCCCCTCCCCCTTGTATACTGCAGCATCCCATGCATCACTGCTACTGATACAAATAGTACACAAACAGAGCAGAGAGAGGGAGAGGAGGAGATGAGAAAGAAAGAGAGGGAGATGGGAGGGAGAGAGAAGGAGGAAGAGGGATGGAGAGAGAGAGCGAAAGAGAGGGCGATGGGAGGGAGAGAGAGAAGGAGGAGGGATGGAGAGAGAGAAAGAGAGGGAGATGGGAGGGAGAGAGAGAGAGAAGGAGGAGGGATGGAGATGAGAGAGAAAGAGAGATGGGAGGGAGAGAGAGAAGGAGGAGGGATGGAGATGAGAGAGAGGGCATAAATGCCCCACTGCTGTAGTCACATCACATCCCATTGAAAAGCAGGCTGGGGAAACAAATGAAAAAAATGCATCTGACCGCAGAAAAGCAGTCTAAGCGGGCCCCTGAGAAAACAGTGGACGTAGAGATAGATTATGGCCCAGTGTTTCTAGCTTCTGCTCCTTGCAGTTCCCATGCTAATGTCCTTCTGGAGCTTATACCACTTAGTCTGGCTCTGCAGTAACATCAACAGTAAACAGTGTGGGGTCTTTGCCCATATCCTATACCAAGAGAGCACAAAGGCGTAGCCTGCTTTCTAATGCACACCCATACTGAATGGGTGATTATTCAGTGTTCATAATGTCTAATAGGTACAAGAATAAGATTACAAAAAGGAGAGGGTTGAATCTTGTTTGCACAGATGTTTTATTACATTTGAGGCTAATAATGCCTTTACAAATCAGTACTAATACAGTTCCTGGTTGTGTAAGTTGGGTTTAATGAAGATGTCATTCAATTACCGTACTCTTAAGAGCAAGTAGCTAATTAGTTTAGCTCTTATAACCCCATTCTGTTAATGGAGAAGCAGTTGTTTCATTGGTGTTGAGAGAGCTTGGAGTATCGATGTGTTCATTAAAGTACATGTCTGTCAGTCTGTGTGTGGACATGACTGTGCTATTGTAAGGCAGTCAACCATTAAATAGAGCTGGACCTTAGTTGGCTTTTTAACAATAAAGGCACTCTATCAAAATGGCCCCTCATCAGTCAAAGGGAAATATGCTCAATGGTTTCAAGTCATTTGTACTCTGGTGAATTAAATCAATAAACCAATTGAAGTACTGGATGGCAAGTACAATTTGTTGAATATGTTTGGGGAACACATTAGGCCTATACCATACATGTAGGTAGCCCAGAAGGAGAGACAGATAGGGAACATTGTACAATAATATCCTGGAAGTGATATGAGAAGGGGAGAAAATATCAAGAGCATTTGCATCTTCATTTAGCAGAAGCTCAATCTTGAATAAAAATCTAACATACAGTAATGGTAAAGTAATGTGGTGGCAAACCAACATCATTACAGAAGTAGAAACAAACCAGCGAAGGGAGACAGTGAGAGGATATAGGAGACAACATCCACCAACACCTCCCACCCATAAAGAACAATCATTAAACAGTGTTCACTCCAGCTAAACAATCAGGCACCAGTGATCACAGACACAGCTATTCCCAGACCGTAGCTTAACAGATAATTAATCTTCTTGTGAATGGTTGAAAATGATACACCCCACCTTTAGCCGTCCCAATCTGTTGGCGATGAGATGATCTGAGATCTGTGGTCTTTGTTAACTCAGTCACCTGCTCCCCAGGACCACCCACACAGTACAGTGTGCCTCAGGCTCCCTGCAGAGCCAATTGTCCACAGCATACAGTAATTGCAGCTCTCTGCCAAGTGATTAATTGCTTAATAAGTGCCAAGACCATTCCATAGTGTGCTGCGCTGTTGTCTTTTGTGCTGTTCTCTAGCGAAAGCTTGGCATCAACAAGAGCCCAGAGATGGTGAACTTTTAGAATTGCTCTAAAAATACAGGGAAATAAGGTCACTTCTTCTGTAAATATACAAAGCGTGCAACTCGTTTCAAAAGTTGTGGCAATTCAGTCTTGATGGAAATAAGAAGCTGGTCTTTGGTCATTGTGTGTCGCTATTGAGCAATGTGAAACAAAATAAAATTGTCACATGCGCTGAGTACAACGGGTATAGACTTTACTGTGAAATGCATGCTTACGAGCCCTTCCCAACAATGCAGTTAAAAAATTATGATAAAAAGAAAACTTGTAACACAAGAGGAATAAAATACACAAGAATGGAGCTACAGCATATACAGAGAGTACCAGTACCAGATCAATGTGCAGAGGTATGAGGTATTTGAGGTAGATATGTACATAAAGGCAAAGTAAAGTGACTAGGCATCAGGATAGATAATAATAAGAGTAAAATAAAGAACAGAGTAGCAGCAGCAAATTATGTGTAAAAGTGTGTGTTTATGCGTGTGTATGTGTGTTTGTGTTGAGTTGGTATGCGTGTGTATGTTATGTGTGTGCGTATGTGCGTATGTGTGTGGGTTTTGTGTGAGAGTGTCAGTGTAGTGTGTGTCAGTGAGTGTGTATACTGTATAGTGGGCAGTGTATTTGCCATAACAAGCAGTGATGCAGCCAGTTAAGGTGCTAAGCGGACATAAGGAATTGTTTTAAGATTGTCATACTATGGCTTATTTAGATATTTGATTTTGAATTTTAATAATCAAAATTTGATAAAATATTGATTTAGGCTTTTACTACGCTTAACCCGGAAGCCAGCTGCACCAATGTGTCAGAGGAAACACCGTCCAACTGGCGACTGAAGTCAGCTTGCAGGCGCCCGACCTGCCACAAGTAGTCGCTAGAGCGCGATGGGACAAGGAAATCCCAGCCGGCAAAACCTAACCCGGACGACGCTGGGCTGATTGTGCGCTGCCTCATGGGTCTCCCAGTCACAGCCGGCTGTGACACAGCCTGGGATCGAACCCAGGTCTGTAGTGATGCCTTAGACCGCTGCGCCACTCGGGAGGCCTTTATTTTATTATTTTTGTACACATATTTTCAACACATTTTGGGGTAGGCACAGAACTACCTTCATACTTCCATTCGTTTTTTAAAACCGGTACCGGGTTACCTTCAGACGAGTCATGTGACACTTGTGGGGTACATAGAGCAAAACGGAGAACACCGTCATATTCGTGAGAATCTCCCCTTTTCACAGTTTGTAGGTCAAACCCTTCGGACACTACCAAATAGAAGTTGGCACATCCACAGTACCGACTTAAGACGAGTCTCCTGACACTTGTGGGGGTTGTAGAGCAAAACGGAGAACACCATTGTGTTCGTGAGTGTCTCATCTTTCCATAGTTTGTAGGTGAAACCATTCGGACGCACACTGCATACGTTTTCATGAAAAGACCAATTTTCGGGATGTCTCATGGTGTGACAAACACAGCTCTAGCTCTGCCACCTTTCAAAGCAGATGCGGTAGTGCGGTAGTGTGTTGGATTGAGACGTATCCAATGCAAAAAAACAGATATCTCTAGCTTAAATTGACAGATTTTAATGTGGATTTTTTTGTTATGTAACTTAGACTGACGCACTGGCGCGTCAATCGACTCCCAGGGGTTAATTAACTGTATATATTCAAGATTGTATTTATAGTCAAGTTTATATTCATATAATCAGACCTTTATTGATTGATTCAATCTTCTGCACTGCCAAATTCCTGTCTGGCGCCCTGTACCATTTTCTCTGAAGGTTGTAATAGAGTTGAATAACTGACACTTATCGTAACGGTAAGGATAGTTACTAAGATTAATTCTGTCACTTTAAGCAGAGCATCGCCTTCAGAAAATGAATTGGGCTGCCTGTCAGGCCGGTGAATCTGAACGGAGCTGAACAGGGCTTTGTACATTCATCTGGCTGCCTAAGCTGTCTACACTTATGTTTGACCTTGGAGGGTTTAATGTCCTTTCAGCAGGTTTGGCTCTTCCTCTATCCTTCCATGTGTTTGGCTGGCAGAAATATTCCACTTCAAATGGTTCTATGCTTTCAATAAAAAAGTGTATCAATGATAAATAAGATCAGTCTTAAACAACATTGTGTGATAAGGTTCATGCTACTTGCCTTTTGGAAAATGTAACTTTCTGCTGCTACTGCTACTATTGCTATTGTTGCTTCTACTGCTGTACAACCACACATTGCAATCTTCAGAGAACGGATGTTTTTTATTAAGTTGGCAGAGGATTGGAAAATATAATGACTAAATATTTTTAGTCAAGATGTATTAAATGGGCAGGCAGGTATGACAGTATGATTCATACTTGACTCATTCCAAGCTAGTAGTCTGCCAAGGATGATACATAAATACTGTACATACATGTAGATGAACTTAATCAATAGCTGTATAGATGGGGAATACACAATGTATACTAATGCATAATATGTCCTTCGCTTATGCTGTAGCACGTCCGGGTCTGCCCGGGTTCTGAATGATTTCATTTGGTTGGGATTAAGCTGCTTCTCCCAACAGTGAGATATTTAATCTGAGAGTTCAACCTCGGTGCCCGAATGGAATCAGATGATGGCCAGCCAGGGATTACAGGAGCGGATGAGGAAATCAGACTTCAGAAACGACCCATATCCCAACGGACATACTGTATCATGTTAGGGAATACCCTTGACTATGCACTGAAACATACAGATGTGCAGACTGTTTACATTTGTCTGATTTCACACTCAGTACATATCAGCATCAGAGGAATTTCTTTGTGTTGCTATGAGAATTATCAGACTGTACTGTGCCCTCCCCCGACAATCCATCTGGAGCCTATGGCTAGCGACTGCCCTGGATTATCAACAGACAAATTGAATGCCAGCATTTTGGCAGTACTCTTGCATTCTATTATTAACTTAAAATAACTTTTATGGGATCAAAATCCAATGTACCAGATTGTGCAGAGTCATGGTTCATATTTGAGCTGCGTCATTCATGTAAAATCTGTGATACCCACAATTAAGACTGGTTTGAATGTAATTTAATCTCTTAAATCCTGGTAGTCTAAAAACTAAAACTAAAATAGGATTGAACCGCCCTTCCACGGTTGTTTCAAATTGTAGTATTTTCCTTCTCTAAGTATTTACCGTATTTAGTAGAATTACCAGTAGAATTCAGACATTTACATCCAGTTTATCCCCCACAACAATAAATGCAGATTGTGTTTTATTGTATGTTAGTGTGTTAACTCAATGCAATTGTTTTTTTTTGTGTTGCAGTGTGGAGCTGGACTTCAAGCAGCAGGAGGACAAATTACAGCCCCTGATTAAGAGACTGTGCCCCTTGGACGACCCTCAATACCCTGCTCTGCCTTACCCCCACGAGGTGTTCACCTCAACCCCCAAACGCAAGTCCAAGACAGAGTCCAAAAAGCATGGTCGCTGGAAACTCTGGTTCCTTTAACTTAGGGAACACTTTGGCTTTTGGAATGGCCTTTTGGATCTGTCTTTACCCATTTCCTATCTTCCCTCAAAAGGATTTATCATGACAGATGTTCTGCTCCAGAGGACAGATAACCAGATACCAGTAAACCATCTATATCAGGATTCTGAGTTGGAACTGCACTAGAAATCAATGGGGGGTGGGGGTAAAAAAAATTGAGGTTTAGAGTCTGCCAAGCCTTCAGTTTCTGGCTCAAACACCAGAGAATATCAACTTATACCCTGGCTAAAGGTTAGCAAAACAACAAGGTGAGACTGGATATATTTTGGTCATCTTGAGATGTAGCCTACAATATGAAAACGGATGTTATTTATTTACTGGGGAAATACTTCTCTCACTTTTTTATTTATGATTTCCAATGGCACACCTTTTTGGTCTCTTTCCCCAGAGACCTCTGCTTGAGTAGAAGAGGAATCACCATGTGGAAGACTTGTTTCTCTACAAAGCTACTTTAACCGTACATCAGCAAAGCACAAACATTTGGAGACTGAGAATGTCATGGAAGAAGAAGTTATATACAGTACATTACAGTATATTAGTGAACCAACTCTACATGAACCCTTCTTGCCCACTCTCTCCAGTCTTGTGAGAGCCCAATCTCTGTCTCTCTCTCTCTCTCTCTCTCTCTCTCTCTCTCTCTCTCTCTCTCTCTCTCTCTCTCTCTATCTCTCTCTCTCTCTCCCCCTATCTCTCTCTCTCTCCCCCTATCTCTCTCTCTCTCTCTCGCTCTCTTCCACCTCTCTCTCTCTCTTCCATCTCTCTCTCTCTCTGCACACAGACACGCACTTCAGGAGTATGGAAAGAATGATTGAGTTATCTGAGATCCTAGATCGCTTTGTCTTTTAGAAACAGGATATAATCCAAGTTATAGTTCTCCTCGAAGCTGTTCTAATCCATCAATGTTCAGAAATAGGGGTTGAATTTTTACTATTGCATATAGAAAAATTTACTTATTTTTAACATAATAAAGTTTATTGATATGTTTTATTACTGTGTTATTCAACCTGCAGCAGACTATTTTATGAAAAAAATACCTTAAAAGCTTTTTATTGAATATCAGTTGAAAAGGTAAGCATATTTTGCCACTTCTTTATCATTTCACACGCATAAAGCTTTCCTTGTCTTTCACTTACATACTGGTTAACATCGCACTAACTTATTCTCACCCACAGCAAGGAAATGTACTGTAAAGACATGATGAAATCCATCACTATTCTCTCTGCAATATGTAGTTCACATTCTAACTCACTTGACTCAATTGATCATCATCACAGACCATATGGTCATTCACGTGATGCTATAATTCTGCAACTCACCAATAATTTTGATTAACATTGATCAGCACCAAATGCCTTTGATTACCATCTCCTATATGATTACGTTAGGGGTGAAATCAACTCACCTCCCAGGAGAAGCAATCCATGCACTGAACTTGCAATCTTTATATTTCTAGACCAGTGATAAATGGTGACTTTGGCAGCAGAGAGATTCAGTTGTTGTAGCCACTAAAACTATCCACTTACTGCACCCATCATTTTATGGACAATCCTTTCAATCTCACATTACAAAATGTCACACAGACATCATGTGATTCAATCACACATCTGTTATTGTTGACTGGGTTACCAAGTCTTTCATTATTTGGCTGTAGCATACTGAAAGACAGACACATAGCGATACCTTTAGGAAGTGCAATTCATTGATCATGTGCAATATTATGCATTTTGTACTGTTTTTACCTCACACCAAATGCATTCTCAATAAAACCAATAGAATTATGAAAGGTGTGCTGAAATTGTTCTATGGTATACTATGTGAATTTCAGGTCAGCGACAATTTGATACAACGCAATGTTGATGGAACATAAAAAGTTGGACCATCTGAGAACATCAACATGGTACAGTACATTTCCTAATGTAGGCTCTCTTCCCTGTCTTGTTGAGAAAGACTTCTAGCATGACCAGGGCTCAGCTGCAGTGTAGGATTGCGTTGAGGTCTGCCCAGTCACTCTCAGAACTCTCTCGCCCTCTCTTTCTCTAAATGTGATTGGCTCACTCTCTGGCAGGGACACTACTGGTGTGTCCTGAGGTTTGACAGTTGCATGCCACCTGCTGCCCAGATACTGTCCGCTTGGACGCCTGAATTCAAGGGTGTAATTTCCCTCTCTCTACCTCCCTTCCTATATCGCTCCATCCCTCACTTCCGGCCCGTGGGGCTAAGTCCCCGAGCTACAGTGGAACCATGGTTACTAAGGTGAAACAGGTTGGATCATTGACGCGAGCTCAGTGGCTCATCTCCCTAAGGAGCTCAGTGGCTCAGGTGCCTAAGGATATTTATAGTGTATGAGTTTAACTGTGCTTTTGTACGTGTCAACTTTACTTGTGTCCTGTACACATCACAGCACCATTCACTTTCAGTCCCTTTTACCAACCTGACCCAGTACTGTGGCTACTACTGCAGACGGATAACCATAACAGACATCACTGAACAAACATCCTTTTTTGGGTCATTTGAGACCCCATACAAAAGCATGGCTGGTAAGTCCATGTGGTTTGTCTACTGTAAGCCAGCCAACATCACACTTCATGCCTGAGGGTTCCTACTCAAGCATAGAATCCCTTAATCCATGAATCCCATAACTGCTGGCATTTTAAGATATACTTTGGGTAGAGTTGGAGCTCCACAATGGAGGTTACAAGGCAAAGTGGTTTACAATTCAATACCTATCACAGAAACCACCACTATCACTAAGCATCAATGTTTTTCGATTTCTATATACGGTACACAGATGTCGGATCTTCATTCGATCACTATTTTTGTTGCTGAGAATTTTCCTGCACAGCAGGAAATGCGAACTTGTGGTTTATTCAAGAATTAAAAAGGATTCTAAAGTTTGTCATTTCCACTTTAAATGTCAGACTTGATTCACCCTAAAGAAAAATGATCAAATAATTCACATTTCCTGTTGCTGCAGGATTATTTTCCTGCTGTAGGAAACTGGCTCAAATTAAGATCCTACATCTGTATTTGTCTGGTATGCTAGTATGGAGATTAGGTTGTACATTTTTCACAACCATAAAGTTGTGTTGTTAGGTCATAAATAACTGGCATATAAAGCATTTAGCTGTTACGGTTTAGTTGATAGCTCTACATCACGTGTCAAACTCATTCTACGGAGGGCCGAGTGTCTACGGGTTTTCGCTCCACCCTTGTACTTGATTGATTAATTAAGGTCACTAATTAGTAAGGAATTCCCCTCACCTGCTTGTCTAGGTCTTAATTGAAAGGAAAAACCAAAAACCTGCAGACACTCGGCCCTCCATGGAATGAGTTTGACATCCCTGCTCTATTTCGTTCGCTTGGTTATTCCTAGTAAAATAGATCATCATACTCAAACGCCCAAGGCAGAGTCGGAAGTGGGCCGGCCCTCGCCAGAACCCGATTTTCAACTAGTTTGAGTAATATTTACAAGAATTATGTAGTGTTTGCCACAGCAAGAAAACTGAAGTTTAGAAATCACAAATGTTATAGTCAAGCATAATGATATATACTGTATATACAACCAATATAATTATGAAAGGTGTGCTGAAATTATTCTATGGTGTACTATGTGAATTGCAGGGCAGCGACAGTTTGATACAACACAATGTTGATGGAATATATACTCTATAATTAACCAAAAGATAGTGATCCATATCAGCGTTGACTCTGTGATGTGAGTCGTGTCTGTGAGATCAGTGCTCTCTGTGTGGCATCACGGATGCTCTTTAGGAAAGGCAGTGGGCTGGAGCCTCCGGTGCCGGTTTCATCCAACGCTGAGCCGACGCCGTTGAGTGGACAGCCCATGGCACGGGCCCGGTAACCAGGTACAGTGATGTATCGGGTCACAGCGGAGAGGTGGTAACTCCGCAGGTTCACCAGGGCAGACACACATGAGTCATAATTGATGCAGAGAGAGGGGCTGGAGCAGGAGAGGATAAAGTCACGTAGAGGGGGACAAACAGACAGAGTCTCTATCAGCTGGCGGTGGGAGGGGAGCATGTACTCCCGCATGCGCTTCAGGAAAGATGCTTTACATGGAGAGATGGAGGAACGGTCGAGGAGAAATGAGGAGATTAGAACCCAAATTGAAATATCGCTGGAAAATCAGAAACATAGGCTTATGGGGTCAGAATGGGGTCATACCTGCATGGACGTCATGACAGATTCCCAGTAGCGCATCAAAGCACTGAATGGAGGAACTCTGTGCAGCACTTCCTCCTGACAGCATCATCGGCTCCTCCCCCACACCCTCATACAGCAGCCCTCCTGGAAGCATGGGGTTATCTCTCCATCTACGACAGCACCATACAGAGTTATGTATGAAACTAATACAGCCCAGAATGGGCTACATAATGTAGGGATAATGTATAAAATCCGTTTTTAGTTTTTTCCCCAAATTCTGTTTTCTCCATTTTGTTTTTCTATGTTTCAGATTCTTTCCAGGTTTTTCAGGTTTTCTCTCTCAAAATCACACATTTTCTATAGAAAAACAACACAATGGTATGTTTTAAGTCCACCACAATGCTTAAACCACATCAGGAGACCACTTTTGAGGTCTGGGAAAAATCAAATACATTTTCATTTTTGGGTGTAGAATATACACTGTGTACAAAACATTAGGAATACCTGCTCTTTCCATGACATAGACTGACCAGGTGAATCCAGGTGAAAGCAATTGATTTTTAAGCAATTGAGACATGGATTGTGTATGTGTGCCATTCAGATGGTGAATGGGCTTGACAAAATATTTAAGTGCCTTTGAACGGGATATAGTAGTAGGTGCCAGGCGCACTGGTTTGAATGTGTCAGGAACTGCAACGCTGCTAAGTTTTTCACGCTCAACAGTTTCCCATGTGTATCAAGAATAGTCCACCACCCAAAAAACATCCAGCCAACTTGACACAACTGTGGGAAGCATTGGAGTCAACATGGGCCAGCATCCCTGTGGAACATTTTCGTCACATTGTTGTCCATGCCCCGACGAATTGAGGCTGTTCTGAGGGCAAAAGGGGGTGCAACTCAATATTAGGAAGGTTTTCCTAATGTTTTGTACGCTCACCGTAGATACCCTTTCATTCAAGTGCGCACCAACAAGAGACTTGTTTGATTAGCAGTGTTTCTCTAGCACATATGTGATTTCAGAGTTTGCTAAACAAATCGCCACTGGATTAATGCAAATAATGATATCATTCTGCCAGGTATACATAGGCTACTTTGTAGATAACATTTAATTGAGAAGGTTTTTTGGAAAGTCTTTCCATCTACCAGAAGACGGTTATCATTAGCATCTTTGTTAACAGCTAAACAAAGTGTTACAAATGTGCACACAGACAGGGGCATTCCCGCATTGCCTCTTCAGAAAGTTGAAAATACGTATCATTTTATTCATGTCTTATGATTAACTTGGGCAAATTAATCAAATGTCTAATAAGTTGAATACATTTAGTTGATTTTTTCCACATCACGGATTATATAGGGCCCTTATAATGGAGTGAATATGTATAGATTGCATCATACATTACCCTGAGAAGAAGATTCTCAGAGTTCCATGGAATGCAGTGGGGTCCACGTGCCCTGAAAACAGAAATATTCCAATTAAATTGCACTTATTATACAGTGGGGAGAACAAGTGTTTGATACCCTGCCGATTTTGCTGGTTTTCCTACTTACAAAGCATGTAGAGGTCTGTAATTTTTATCATAGGTACACTTCAACTGTGAGAGAAGGAATCTAAAAAAAAAAAATCCAGAAAATCACATTGTATGATTTTTAAGTAATTAATTTGCATTTTATTGCATGACATAAGTATTTGATACATCAGAAAAGCAGACCTTTAATATTTGGTACAGAAACCTTTGTTTGCAATTACAGAGATCATACGTTTCCTGTAGGTCTTGACCAGGTTCGCACACACTGCAGCAGGGATTTTGGCCCACTCCTCCATACAGACCTTCTCCAGATCCTTCAGGTTTCGGGGCTGTCGCTGGGCAATACGGACTTTCAGCTCCCTCCAAAGATGTTCGATTGGGTTCAGGTCTGGAGACTGGCTAGGCCACTCCAGGACCTTGAGATGCTTCTTACGGAGCCACTCCTTAGTTGCCCTGGCTGTGTGTTTCGGGTCGTTGTCATGCTGGAAGACCCAGCCACGACCCATCTTCAATGCTCTTACTGAGGGAAGGAGGTTGTTGGCCAAGATCTCGCGATACATGGCCCCATCCCCTCAATACGGTGCAGTCGTCCTGTCCCCTTTGCAGAAAAGCATCCCCAAAGAATGATGTTTCCACCTCGATGCTTCACGGTTGGGATGGTGTTCTTGGGGTTGCACTCATCCTTCTTCTTCCTCCAAACACGGTGAGTGGAGTTTAGACCAAAAAGCTCAATTTTTGTCTCATCAGACCACATGACCTTCTCCCATTCCTCCTCTGGATCATCCAGATGGTCATTGGCAAACTTCAGACGGGCCTGGACATGCGCTGGCTTGAGCAGGGGGACCTTGCGTGCGCTGCAGGATTTTAATCCATGACGGCGTAGTGTGTTACTAATGGTTTTCTTTGAGACTGTGGTCCCAGCTTTCTTCAGGTCATTGACCAGGTCCTGCCGTGTAGTTCTGGGCTGATCCCTCACCTTCCTCATGATCATTGATGCCCCACGAGGTGAGATCTTGCATGGAGCCCCAGACCGAGGGTGATTGACCGTCATCTTGAACTTCTTCCATTTTCTAATAATTGCGCCAACAGTTGTTGCCTTCTCACCAAGCTGGTTGCCTATTGTCCTGTAGCCCATCCCAGCCTTGTGCAGGTCTACAATTTTATCCCAGATGTCCTTACACAGCTCTCTGGTCTTGGCCATTGTGGAGAGGTTGGAGTCTGCTTGATTGAGTGTGTGGACAGGTGTCTTTTATACAGGTAACGAGTTCAAACAGGTGCAGTTAATACAGGTAATGAGTGGAGAACAGGAGGGCTTCTTAAAGAAAAACTAACAGGTCTGTGAGAGCCGGAATTCTTACTGGTTGGTAGGTGATCAAATACTTATGTCATGCAATACAAAAATCCCTGCTGCAGTCTCTGCAAACCTGGTCAAGACCTACAGGAAACGTATGATCTCTGTAATTGCAAACAAAGGTTTCTGTACCAAATATTAAGTTCTGCTTTTCTAATGTATCAAATACTTATGTCATGCAATAAAATGCAAATGAATTACTTAAAAATCATACAATGTGATTTTTTGGATTTTTGTTTTAGATTCCGTCTCTCACAGTTGAAGTGTACCTATGATAAAAATTACAGACCTCTACATGCTTTGTAAGTAGGAAAACCTGCAAAATCGGCAGTATATCAAATACTTGTTCTCCCCACTGTATATACTACATGGGTGTGGATATGATTCACTGTGGATAAGGTAGGATGTAACTTACTGTGCATGAGCTCAAATATTTCCTTCATCTTCCTCAGAGACTGGCCCACTTTGTAGAGGCCCTTCTGTATGCTGATGATGTCACAGGTTACCACAGAATTCATCACTGAAAACGCCCCCTAGACGGAGTTCAGGACAATTAGCACTCATAATCAAAAGCCTCTTAGGGTTCATAGTGAAAGTGACCACGAAAGACAGAAAGAGATCACAAAAACAGAAAGAGAGAAGGAGAAACAGGGTTATAATGAGAAAGACAGAGAGATGCAAAGTGTGTGAGAGATACAGTACAGTCGTGGTCAAAAGTTTTGAGAATGACACAAGTATTGGTCTTCACAAAGTTTGCTGCTTCAGTGTTATGAGATATTTTTGTCAGATGTTACTATGGTATACTGACGTATAATTACAAGCATTCCATAAGTGTCAAAGGCTTTTATTGACAATTACATTAAGTTTATGCAAAGAGTCAATATTTGCAGTGTTGACCCTTCTTTTTCAAGACCTCTGCAATCCGCCCTGGCATGCTGTCAATTAACTTCTGGGCCACATCCTGACTGATGGCAGCCCATTCTTGCATAATCAATGCTTGGAGTTTGTCAGAATTTGTGGGGTTTTGTTTGTCCACCTGCCTCTTGAGGATTGACCACAAGTTCTCAATGGGATTAAGGTCTGGAGAGTTTCCTGGCCATGGACCCAAAATGTAGATGTTTTGTTCCCCGAGCCACTTAGTTATCACTCTTTCCTTATGGCAAGGTGCTCCATCATGCTGGAAAAGGCATTGTTCGTCACCAAACTGTTCTTGGATGGTTGGGAGAAGTTGCCCTCGGAGGATGTGTTGGTACCATTCTTTATTCATGGCTGTGTTCTTAGGCAAAATTGTGAGTGAGCCCACTCCCTTGGCTGAGAAGCAACCCCACACATGAATGGTCTCAGGATGCTTTACTGTTGGCATGACACAGGACCGATGGTAGCGCTCACCTTGTCTTCTCTGGACAAGCTTTTTTCCGGATGCCCCAAACAATCGGAAAGGGGATTCAGAGAAAATGACTTTACCCCAGTCCTCAGCAGTCCAATCCCTGTACCTTTTGCAGAATATCAGTCTGTCCCTTATGTTTTTCCTGGAGAGAAGTGGCTTCCTCGCTGCCCTTCTTGACACCAGGCCATCCTCCAAAATCTTTGCCTCACTGTGTGTGCAGATCTACTCACACCTGCCTGCTGCCATTCCTGAGCAAGCTCTGCACTGGTGGTTCCCCGATCCCGCAGCTGAATCAACTTTAGGAGATGGTCCTGGCGCTTGCTGGACTTTCTTGGGCGCCCTGAAGCCTTCTTCACAACAATTGAACCTCTCTCCTTGAAGTTCTTGATTATCCGATAAATGGTTGATTTAGGTGCAATCTTACTAGCAGCAATATCCTTGCCTGTGAAGCCCTTTTTGTGCAAAGCAATGATGACGGCACGTGATTCCTTGCAGGTAACCATGGTTAACAGAGGAAGAACAATGATTTCAAGCACCACCTTCCTTTTAAAGCTTCCAGTCTGTTATTCTAACTCAATCAGCATGACAGAGTGATCTCCAGCCTTGTCCTCGTCAACACTCTCACCTGTGTTAACGAGAGAATCACTGACATGATGTCAGCTGGTCCTTTTGTGGCAGGGCTGAAATGCAGTGGAAATGTTTTTGGGGGATTAAGTTCATTTTCATGGCAAAGAGGGACTTTGCAATTAATTGCAATTCATCTAATCACTCTTCATAACATTCTGGAGTATATGCAAATTGCCATCATAAAAACTGAGGCAGCAGACTTTGTGAAAATTAATATTTGTGTCATTCTCAAAACTTTTGACCACGACTGTACATGGATAGTGACTTAGACAGAGAAAGAGAAAGAGAAAGAAAGACAGAGACACACATAGAGACTTGCCTGTATCCCTGAGCTAGCAGCCCTCTCCACCAAGAGAGAGACCAGGAAGAACCCTTTACAGCTTTCTCCCCCAGGAAAAGAGAACAGTGTATCCAAGTTCCTATATTCAAAATCACATGAATAACACATGGAAACCACAAGAATATCACATAGAAACCAAACAGAACCGAAAACAGGAATTTACAGGAGAGAAATTCAAACGTAATTCTCATGACAGTTTTTCTGTCATACTCACCCAATTTCGATGTCCCTGAAATAACAAGTGTGAGAAAGAATGTCAATACATGGCATGTGTTTCCTAAACAGTACATGGTCCTGTCGTGTTAGTAGAAGTAATGGTAGTGGACAAGAGTGTAGTGGCATTTTGGGTAGGGGTTGGAAGGAAAGTGGTCAAGGGGGTAGAGGTAAGGGGTAGTGACAGACCAAAGGCCCAGCTCACCCTGTAAGGTCCCTGAGTCTCCAGTTAGCCAGAACAGAGTCTGCGTACGTCAGGATGGGTGGCAGGCCGAGTCTCTTGGAGACCAGCCAGTAGGGCAGAGCCAGGGATTTGGGGAGAGTCTAATAAACACAAACAGTAAGCATGCCAACAATCAATGAGACATATTCCAGCGTTCATGTCTGAGGTTAAAGGTCACACTGAGCTGGTTTTTACCTGGGCCGGCAGGTGTTGCCCCTCCTGCCAGACATACCCCATGGTGATGAAGCCCAGGGCCAGGTGAGCCAGCCTCAGCTCCCGATGGCCCTTCAGGTGATGGGGACTCAGCACAGGCATCTGTTTACAACAATGGCAACAATGAGTCTGTTAGTATGGGTCTATCAGCAACACTGGTACAATCACACACATCAGCACGGACATCACAAGCCCAGACACATGCAAAGTCACATCAGTGCTGAAGCCTAAATCACATTTATATTTTAGTCATTTAGCAGACGCTCTTATCCAGAGCGACTTACAGTTAGTGAGTGCATACATTTTCATACTGCCCCCCCGTGGGAAACGAACCCACAACCCAGGTGTTACAAGCACCATGCTCTACCAACTGAGCTACAGGGGATACACTAAATAAAATCAAGTGTATTTGATTGTTGACTGAGATACATGTGGTTTCTCACCTCGTTGACCAGGTCTTGCAGCTGATGTGTTTGGATGAGGGATGTGAGGTTGCTGGCCAAGCCCATCCATACCCGGTAGTAATCTGGAAGGTCTGTCTAAAATGGGCAAAGGTCAAACAGCTAGATATGACAGTACACTGATTTATCTGTGCACTATACACAAAAGAAGAAAGTTGTTGGTTCAAGAAGTTCAAGCAAAAAATATGTTTCTGGCTCTGCAATCGGAATGTACTGTAAGTTAATGAGGTGTGATGGGATAAAAGCATGATCTAAAGTAGAGAGTAGAACTTGTTTTAGTCCCTCAAGTCTCATTGATTTAGTGTTGACATTGAGCACACTCTCTCCAGTGTAAGTCAATAGAGACCAGAACAGACCAACTGTCATTGGCTCACAGCTCAGTGCATGCTGGAGGGAGAAAAATCAATAGGTATCCATATAACATCCCATTCACTGTTCTGTACAATATCTATGCTTATTATCTCCAGTCTCGTTGTCACGTTATGATCGATTCACGTGGATGTCAGCCTCTGTGAGTGATCTCTCTCTGAGCTTGATTCGCTATACTGTATCTCTGTCCCTTTATTATTGAACACATCCCTTGCATCATCGTTCTGCAATAATCAAGTTCAATAATAGAAGGTTGTGTACAATGTCATGTGACACCAAGTAGTTCCTCAAATCTGGGATAGGAAGTTTAGAAAGTTTAGAAAAATTTCCCAGAATTTAAAACCTGTTGATTGTCATACTGGATTGTGGTTAGAAAGAAACTAGAAATGACAGTACAATGATGTATCTGTGCACTATACATACAATAAGAAAGTTGTTGGTTCTAGAAGTTCAAGCAAAAAATATGTTTCTGGCACTGCAATCGGAATATACTGTAAGTTAATGAGGTGTGATGGGATAAAAGCATGATCTAAAGTAGAGAGTAGAACTTGTTTTAGTCCCTCAACTCTCATTTATTTAATGTTGACATTGAGCACACTCTCTCCAGTGTAAGTCAATAGAGACCAGAACAGACCAACTGTCATTGGCTCACAGCTCAGTGCATGCTGGAGGGACAAAGATCAATAGGTATCCATATAACATTAACCAAAACAAACATATTTCTCAGTTTCAAATCCTGGTAGCACATGGGATTACTGGATCAAGAGACACTGGAGGAAATACCATATGTCACTGAGACAGAAATAATACCACACTTCTCATTATTTCTGTTGTGAAGACTACAGACTGATATTTAATGTGGAAGTATGTTCTTTAATTTTGCTTTTCACATCCCCAAAACAAAACCAGGCAATTATTTGAAAGGTGACTTAGTCAGTAGATCACATTTGTAAAGAGCAGAGGAGTCTAGCTTGCTTTAACAGCAAAACAAAACAGCATTTAAAGGAAAATTAACCAATAAAATGCCAACAGATTAACCTGAAGTCACACCATTCATAAAGTTATTGCAGTAATTTTAAGACATTTTCTGACATCATGCTCAGCACAAAGTACATATATAAAGTTGGAAAAAGATGCCTTACTGCTGGCTGCTCCAGGATGAATCCAAACTCCTCAGACACAAAGAAACAGTCCAGGTCAATGTGCAGTGCTGACCTGGGGAATCTCTCTCCGTCTCCCATTCTCTGTTCTGTACAGTATCTATGCTTATCTATCTCCATTTTCGTGTACACGTTATGATCGCTTCACATGGATGTCAGCCTCTGTCTCTGAGCTTGTTTTGCTATACTGTATCTCTGTCCCTTTATTATTGAACACATCCCTTTTATCATATTTTCTGCAGTCATCAAGTCCAACAATAGAAGGTTGTGCAAAATGTCATGTGACACCAAGCAGTTCCTCAAATCTGGGATAGGGAGTTTAGAAAGTTTCCCAGAATTTCAAACATTTAATACTGGATTTTTATTTGAAAGAAACAAGAATTGATCATTAAGTTTCACAGAAATCTGAATCATAAGCTCATATAACACAATTCATTTTACATTGCATTCCTGTATCACACCTACAGTGCATTTGGAAAGTATTCAGACCCCTTGACTTTTACGTTACAGCCTTATTCTAAAATGGATTAAATTAATGTTTTCCCTCATCAATCTACACACACAATATATAATGACAAAGCAAAAACAGGTTTTTAGAAATTTGAGCAAATGTATAAAAAAAAAAAAAAAACATAAATACCTTATTTACATAAGTATTCAGACCCTTTGCTATGAGAATCGAAATTCAGCTCAGGCGCATACTGTTTCCAATGATCGTCCTTGAGATGTTTCTACAACTTGATTGGAGTCCACCTGTGGTAAATTTAATTGATTGGACATGATTTGGAAAGGCACACACCTGTCTATATAAGGTCCCACAGTTGACAGTGCATGTCAGAGCAAAAACCAAGCCATGAGGTCGAAGGAATTGTCTGCAGAGCTCCGAGACATGATTGTGTCGCGGCACATATATGGGGAAGGGTACCAAAAAATGTCTGCAACATTGAAGGTCCCCAAGAACACAATGTCCTCAATCATTCTTAAATGGAAGAAGTTTGGAACCACCAAGACTGTTCGTAGAGCTGGTCGCCCGGTCAAACTGAGCAATCGGGGGAGAAGGGCCTTGGTCAGGGAGGTGACCAAGAACTCGATGGTCACTCTAACAGAGCTCCAGAGTTCCTTTGTGGAGATGGGAGAACCTTCCAGAAGAACAACAATCTCTGCAGCACTCCACCAATTAGGCCTTTACGGTAGAGTGGCCAGACGGAAGCCAATCCTCAGTAAAAGGCACATGCCAGCCCAATTGGAGTTTGCGAAAAGGCACCTAAAGGACTCTCAGACCATAAGAAACAAGATTCTCGGGTATGATGAAACCAAGATGGAACTCTTTGGCCTGAACACAATGAGTCACGTCTGGAGGAAACCTGGCACCATCCCTACGGTGAAGCATGGTGGTAGCAGCATCATGCTGTGAGGATGTCTTTCAACGGCATGGTCTGGGAGACTAGTCAGGATCGAGGGAAAGATGAATGGAGCAAAGCACAGAGAGATCCTTTATGAAAACCTGCTCCAGAGCATTCAGGACCTCAGACTGGGGCGAAGGTTCACCTTCCAACAGGACAACGACCCTAAGCACACAGCCAAGACAGCGCAGGAGAGGCTTTGGGACAAGTCTCTGAATGTCCTTGAGTGGCACAGCCAGAGCTCGGACTTGAACCCGATCGAACATCACTGGAGAGACCTGAAAATAGATGTGCAGCGACGCTCTCCATCCAACCTGACAGAGCTTGGGAAGATCTGCTGAGATGAATGGGAGATGCTCCCCAAATACAGGTGTGCCAAGCTTGTAGCATTGTACCCAAGAAGACTAAAATCAAATCAAATCAAATTGTATTTGCCACATGCGCCGAATACAACAGGTGTAGACCTTACAGTGAAATGCTAACTTACAAGCCCTTAACCAACAATGCAGTTTTAAGAAAAATAAGTGTTAAGTAAAAAATAGATCAGTAAAAAATTAAAAAATAAAATATTGCAAATAGTCCAGGCAGACATGATTAGCTGTTCAGGAGTCTTATGACTTGGGGGTAGAAGCTGTTAAGAAGCCTTTTGGACCTAGACTTGGCGCTCCGGTACCGCCTCCCGTGCAGTAGCAGAGAGAACAGTCCATGACTAGGGTGGCTGGAGTCTTTGACAATTTTTAGGGCCTTCCTCTGACACCGCCTGGTATAGAGGTCCTGGCTGGCAGGAAGCTTGGCCCCAGTGATGTACTGGGCCGTACGCACTACCCTCTGTAGGGCCTTGCGGTCGGAGGCCGAGCAGTTGCCATACCAGGCAGTGATGCAACCAGTCAGGATGCTCTCGATGGTGCAGCTGTATTACTTTTTGAGGATCTGAGGACCCATGCCATTGGTTTGTCTCCTGAGGGGGAATGGGCTTTGTCGTGCCCTCTTCACGACTGTCTTGGTGTGTTTGGACCATGATAGTTTGTTGGTGATGTGGACACCAAGGAACTTGGAAGCTCTCAACCTGTTCCACTACAGCCCCGTCGATGAGAATGGGGGCGTGCTCAGCCCTCTTCTTTTTCCTGTAGTCCACAATCATCTCCTTTGTCTTGATCACGTTGAGGGAGAGGTTGTTATCCTGGCACCACAAGGCCAGGTCTCTGACCTCCTCCCTATAGGCTGTCTCATCGTTGTCGGTGATCAGGCCTAACACTGTTGTGTCATCGGCAAACTTAATGATGGTGTTGGAGTCGTGCTGTAATTACTGCCAAAGGTACTGAGTAAAGGGTCTGAATACATATGTAAATGTAACATTTCAGTTTTTTACATGTGCAAAAATTTATTCAAACCTGTTTGTGCTTTGTCATTATGGGGTATTGTGTGTAGATTGATGAGGGAAAAAAACGATTGAATCCATTTTAGAATAAGGCTTTAACGTAACAAAATGTGGAAAAAGTGAAGGGGTCTGAATACTGCACTGTATTTCAAGTGTGCGAAAAATCCCCTTCAAAAACAAACAAGCAGAAACAAGCCAATGGATCCACTCCCATATAAACCATTATTAGGGCATACCATATATGCAGAGATGGAGAAAGGGAGGAAGAAAGAGAGAGGGAGAGAGAGAGAATGAGAGAGGGGGGGGGGGGGGGGGGGGGACAGAGAGACAGGGAGACAAAGAGGGTTCTATTTTTTGCTGGTGTTAACCCTTTACAGACTAAAGGCGGCCGCATGCCTTCGGTGCAGTTTGTGCATGCAGTGGCTTGTGAAAGTATTCACCCCCCTTGGCATTTTTCATATTTTGTTGCCTTACAACCTGGAATTAAAATGGATTTTTGTGGGGTTTGTATCATTTGATTTACTCAACATGCCTACCACCTTGAAGATGCAAAATATTTGTATTGTGAAACAAACAAGAAATAAAGCCACCTTTTGCAGCAATTACAGCTGCAAGTCTCTTGGGGTATGTCTCTATAAGCTTGGCACATCTAGCCACTGGGATTTTTGCCCATTCTTCAAGGCAAAACTGCTCCAGCTCCTTCAAGTTGGATGGGTTCCGCTGGTGTACAGCAATCTTTAAGTCATACCACAGATTCTCAATTGGATTGAGGTCTGGACTTTGACTAGGCCATTCCAAGACATATAAATGTTTCCCCTTAAACCACTCAAGTGTTGCTTTAGCAGTATGCTTAGGGTCATGGTCCTGCTGGAAGGTGAACCTCCGTCCCAGTCTCAAATCTCTGGAAGACTGAAACAGGTTTCCCTCAAGAATTTCCCTGTATTTAGCGCCATCATCATTCCTTCAATTCTGACCAGTTTCCCAGTCCCTGCCGATGAAAAACATGGTGTTCTCGGGGTGATGAGAGGTGTTGTGTTTGCGCAAAACATAGTGTTTTCCTTGATGGCCTAAAAGCTCAATTTAGTCTCATCTGACCAGTGTACCTTCTTCCATATGATAGGGGAGTCTCCCACATGCCTTATGTCGAACACCAAATGTGTTTGCTTATTTTTTTCTTTAAGCAATGGCTTTTCTTGGGCCACTCTTCCGTAAAGCCCGGCTCTGTGCAGTGTATGGCTTAAAGTGGTCCTATGGACAGATACTCCAATCTCCGCTGTGGAGCTTTGCAGCTCCTTCTCGGTTATCTTTGGTCTCTTTGTTACCTCTCTGATTAATGCCCTACTTGCCTGGTCCATGAGTTTTGGTGGGCGGCCCTCTCTTGGCAGGTTTGTTGTGGTGCCATATTCTTTCCATTTTTTAATAATGGATTTAATGGTGCTCCGTGGGATGTTAAAAGTTTCTGATATTTTTTTATAACCCAACCCTGATCTGTACTTCTCCACAACTTTGTCCCTGACCTGTTTGGTTTGCTCCTTGGTCTTCATGGTGCCGCTTGCTTGGTGGTGTCCTTTGCTTAGTGGTGTTGTAGACTCTGGGGCCTTTCAGAACAGGTGTATATATACTGAGATCATGTGACAGATCATGTGACACTTAGATTGCACACAGTTGGACTTTATTTAACTAATTATGTGACTTCTGAAGGTAATTGATTGCACCAGATCTTATTTATGGGCTTCATAGCAAAGGGGGTGAATACATATGCACGCACCACTGTTCCGTTATTTATGTTTTAGAATTTTTCATTCCACTACACCAATTTGGACTATTTTGTGTATGTCCATTACGTGAAATCCAAATAAAAATCCATTTAAATTACAGGTTCTAATGCAACAAAATAGAGAAAATGCCAAGGGGGATGAATATTTTTGCAAGGCACTGTATTACTTCCCATTGCAATTTTTTTTAATGTTTAGCACACAAAGTAACCTGTGACCTAAAGTTTAAAGTGGAACTGACATCGTTTTATCTAATTTGTAGATATGAAACAAACAGACAATCATAATTGTAAGGGTTGGTGTGACCCAGGTGCGGTGCAGGATAGACAGCAGGCAGTAGGCAGAGATGGTGAAACAAGGATCTTTACTGGTGGTCCCGAAGCCAGGATACAAAACACGGACTTAACACGATAAAAAGAAAGGTGGAGCCAATAAGTCTCTAAAAATAGGCTGACAGCCAAAATACGAAACAGTAACTATGACTGAATTAATAAGGAAACAGGGATAACACTTCTCGAGTACCTGTACATGCTTCTCCAATCAGACACTGATTAGTACTACTGA